TTTTTAGCGGTGCACCACTACCTTAGTAGCAGTTAAACTGTGTTATTTGTTTTCACATTGCTGTAAAGATGCTACCAGAGAGCAGGTAGTTTATAAAGGAAAGATATTTAATTGACTCACAATTGCGCTTGTGGGAAGGCCTCAGGAAACTACAATCCTGGAAATAGAAGGGAAAGCAGGCACCTTCTTTACAAGGCAGCTGTTGAATGAAAAGCCTGTGAAGGAGAAACTGTCAAACACTTACAAAACCATCAGATCTTGTGAGCACTCACTCATTATCATGAGAATAGCAGGGGGAAACCTCCCACATGATCCAGTCACCTTCCATCTAGTCCATCCCTCAACATGCAGGGATTATGGGGATTACAGTTCAAGATAAGATTTGGGTGGGGACACAGAGCCAAACCATGTCATACCCCAAGGTGGCAAAGGACATGATCAGTTGGCTGTTTTTACTATGTTATTAGTATAAAAAAGCTTAAAATGTCAATCAGGGATATTGAAACTCTGAGAAGGGGACGACAGAACAAACAAAAACCAATTGCCTTGATATAATTCTGGGTGCTTGGGTTTAAGGTCCGGACTTCAGTTAAAGAAGTCAATTGGAAGAATGGGCATTTGTCTTTCATCTCTCTGATCTATGTTCAACTTGTATTAGGTGTTAGAGCATTAGTGGACATCAGTGCAGTTAAACATTTCAAGCTGGGGTCTGCTTAAAGCTGATGCTATGCCTCTAACTGGTCATTGAAAAGTATGATAATAGGTTGGACATCATTTAAGTTCACTTAGATGAGTTACCCTACTGAAGGTCACCCTCTAGGATGGTTTGGAATAAAGTGCTAGAAGTATAATTCTTTGTTTATTAATGCCACTTGGTAAAAGCTTAGTGAACCCTATGTAATTTCTCCTAACGAAAGTCCAGAATTCAATTAGTTGAATACATGGCTACTTTAATTATTCTGTTACGGCTAATTGATATTCACAGTGATCATGTTTTATAGCTTCTAAATGCAATATTACCTTACAAGTTTATGGTTCAGCCTCCTTTGATATTCCAGTTCTTTTTCTTTGTTTTATGTCAGCATATAATTTTATTAGGTTCATATATATTGCACCTCATATGTAGTTTTGTCAAGAAATAAAGCTCTTTTTCCTACTCTTTTTTGCTCATCTGCCTATGTGAGTTGTAAAATAGATTTTGCCTGCCATAGATTATCCATATCATTGTGAAAGATTAATCTTTTTCATTTCTCTGTATGTATGGTTCAGACTGTTACAAGATTTAGAATAAATGGATATATAGTTACTGGGATGTCCTGTTTATGTTGTTAGAGAGTTGTTACCTTTTCTAAATCCTAGTAATCTCTGACTTCATAGTGTTATCTCATGGAAAGCTGAGTAGGTACCTGCTTTGTTTTTAGCGTGAGCTATTAAAAATTGAATGCTGACATTTCAAGGAACTTTTCATTTAAAATATACAGGCTTTCCCATAGCACAGAATCTTGCCTTAACATGCTTTGTACTTGACATACAAAGTAACAGTACATTATCTGTGCTAAGTGATTGTGATGTCACCGAGTTCCCAATGCCATGCACTTGGGGCCACACCTGAGTCCCCCGGAGCAACCAAGGCTAACAGAGCAACAATGTCAAAAAGGTTGTGCTATAAGGATTTTCCCAGGATTATTCATGGGAAGGTAAAGTTCCTGAAAGCACAGTTTGCTATGTTCATAATCCCAGTTTTCTCTTGTATGAGCTTTATTATACCCTTTGTCATGGAGCACTTTCAAGCCCATTCTGAAAAGAGACAAGTCTTTAAGGAAGTAAACGTATGTACTTCACTTTTAATCTAGCTATCAACACCAAGGTAAGACATCAGAATGTTTGTGTTGGGCTCCTTGAACTTGATTTCTATATTTTCTTTGTTTCTCTTGCATTATGGGATCTTCTAGTTTTCCATAATGATCCACTTAAGTACATTGTGTCACGTTTTCCAGCCTAGTCATGTTATCCAGAATCTGGCAACATCTGAAAACTATTCAATACATATTTCTTTTAGGAATAGCAAATAGTAGGTGGGAAAAAATGTTTTATATTATTTTTTCCCAAGATATGATTCTGTATCGATAAATAATGTTGTAATCCGCTTTGTTTTTATTTGTTCATTCACAATGATTCTGTGTTAGGGAGATCTACAGAGTTTTATTTTCTTGCAGTAGGTTAACTACTTTTTGAAAGTTGAATGTGACTCTCCATCCTCAGCAGCTATTAGCGTAGTCAATGTATTCTAGGCTTATTTAAGTTTCAGGATTCATATCGTGTGACTTTTCCTCCTAGCATCATATTAACTGTTTCAAAGCAATGTGCTATTAAAGTGTTGTGGCCATGTTTCTCACTCTGTTCTTCCCGGTGGATCTCAAACTATTGATTCTGTTTGCAGTCCAGGGAAAGATGTGTGCTGCTGGCCTGTAATTTGGTGGTGTTGGGTCTTAGGAAATATCCCCCTCTTTGGTCTTTAGTGTACGTATCTGAGCTTTGGACATGTTGTTTTAAAATTATTCAAGGATCATATCTTAGAAAAGTGAGTGAGCTCATTTCTGTACATCCTTTATTTAGGTTGTAATCAGCTCTTCAAAATTAAATTTGTTTTGATCTATGTAGTGTTCTCAGTAGGCTCAAGTGTTGAATTCTCTTAGTGTTTTCTAAATAATGATAATGGAATATCCATTACGAGTTCTTTGCATTTTAAAAAATCCCACTGTGTGAACAAAAGGAAAATTATTTAGTAGGAGTGTTTTAATAGCCATGGTGGATAATGACATACATTGAATGGGAGAGAAAACCAGGTGCCGATACATTCAGGGTCTAGTAAGTAATAGAATTTCCATGTTATGTATAACTGTTCAAGTTGTTAAAACAAATTATTTGAATTGTTAATACAATTACAGATGCCCACCACGCTACATTTCCATCTCATAATCAAGTGTAAACATATGTAATATTGATGTTTAAAAAATTGTTTTTGTGATTACAGAAGTAATAAGTTCATTATAGGAAATGAAAAACAGTCCAAATAAAAAATATATCCAGCACATATATCATAACTACTATAGGTCTTACCATACTTTATACTTTTTCCCTGTCAATATAAACAAGCACTCAACGAACTCTGTCCCTCCCTTCTGCTCCTCCCTCCCCCATTTCTCATACAAAATTAGGAACTTAGGGCATATGCTACTTCATGAATTGTGTGTTTTTTTCTCACCTAACATTTTGAATTTTTAAAAATTTTCTATCGAAGTATCAGCTTTCAAGAACTCCTACTGTTTGGTTATATGGCTGGATCAAAATCTTTATAATCAATATCCTGTTGTCAGATTATATCTTATTTACCCAAACCTCTATTGTTCACTCTTAGTTGTTCCTTTAAATAATACTAGTTGCATTTTCTTAGATATAAATTCTCTAATTTTTTAATATTTGCTAGGATTGAATGCCTAGAAGTGAAATTGGTCACAGGAAGATTAATGATAGTAATGATTTATACACACATTCACACATTTATAGTTGTTATTATTATACATTTTAATATGCTTAATTTATATCCATTTAAAATATTTATGTAGTTAAATTCATTCTTTCTGATATATAGTTCTATGAGTTTTGACAAATGCATATAATTGTATAATCACCATCACAATCAAGAAACATTTATTTCCTCATCTTAAAAAATTTCTTCCTTTTGCACCTTGACTATAAAGCATGTTTGTTTTTAATTTTGAACATATAAAAGCAAAAACAAGAAAATAGAAACCGCCCATAGGTCTACCATTCTGCTGTAACCTTTGTTGACATTTTATAGAATATTCTTCTACAAAAACGAGGTCATATTGCCCTTGGGTTTATATATATATATTTTGTTTTTTACGTGGTATACTTTGAGTACGTATTTCATTTAGCCATTGGATTGGTTCATTTTTGTTTCTCTGCAGTTCTAAACAACCTCTAATGAACACCTTTGCATGTCGTACTTAAGGAAAGTACTGTAAGTAGTGTTTTTAGATCTCAAGGTATATGTACATTTTAAAGACTTGTTAATTTTATCCGATTGATTTATACAATGGGTATACCAATTTATACTCTGACCAGCAGTGTATAGGCGAGCCTGTTTTCTTATATCCTTGCCAATATTGAGTATTTTTATTTTACATTTGTGTTAATTTGATGGATGAATAATGAAACCATGTTACCTTACTTTGTATTAATCTGATTTGCTGTGGGGTTGGATTTTTTTCATGTGATCATTATTTGTATTTTTTCTGTGTAAATTTCTCATTTATATTATTTGTGTATATTTCTTTTTTTTTTTTTTTTTTGATGGGGGTGAGGAGTGAGGGATGAGGCTTATTTTTTCAGTTCTCGATATATTAGTAAGATGAACTTTCAGTTACCTGTTGGAATTTCTTTGCCTCTTTTTGTTACTTGTTTATTCTTTTGATTTTGTAATGCTTTTGTTTTATGGAGTTTCTTATGGGTCCATTCTTTTCCATTCTCTTTATTTATATTTTCGGTTTTTATGTTGAATTTAGAGAGGTATTTTTAGAGTATATAGTGATGTATATTAGCTTTCAAATTCATTTACTTTTTGTTTCATATTCCTAACAGTCTAATAAAATTTTTACTGTGTTATACCAAGGAGCTATAGATTATATACTTGTATATGGATATATTTTAATCTAATCTTAACATTGTATTTTTAAAATTTATTTATATGCTTTCAAGCAGCATGTACTTTTCATTGAAATGTTCTATTCAAACTGTAACAGCATAGTGACATTTAATTGTGTCCCAAGTTAAGCATTTTTTAAAAAATTTTCTTTCTCATTACCTTCTTTGGCTTGCATTTTAAATATTATCCATCAGATTTCTTTGTGTGAAATTAGGAAAAAACAGTACTCATGTTGTTAAATAACTGTTTGTTTATTTTTAACATGCTGCAGGATATTGAAGACAAAGTAAGTAGCAAAATAATAACCTGTAAATGTGCAAGTAGTTTGTAGTTCACCTAAACTAAGCAGATAGTTGAATAGACAGGTACCTTGATATCTTAGACAAGCAATGCTTAATCACTTATGCAAAAGAATTTTGGTGAAATAACACAAGGATGGGACTGCCTAAATGTATATTTGTTAATAGATGCTTGGATGCATACAATTTTTAAAAAGATATATATATGTACACATACTTTATATATATTAAAAGTAATATATGTACTTCATTAATATATATTAAAAGATGTATACATACATATATACATAGGCATATGCATATACATATATATACTTGCAAATTGTAGTCAGACATATATTCAACCTTCATTGAGCAAAAAATATGTTGAAAACAAAATCTAACCCAGAGTGATATAGGAAAGTCCCTTTTCTCAAAGACAGAGGCCAATTAAACATAATATTCAAGATACCAACATTAGTTTAAGAAATGTACTTTTGGCTGGGTGTGGTGGCTCATGCCTGTAGTCTCAGCACTTAGGGAGGCCGAGGCGGGTGTATCACGAGGTCAGCAGGAGTTCAAGACTAACTTGATCAAGATGGTGAAACTCCATTTCTACTAAAAATACAAAAATTACCCAAGTGTGGTGGCATGTGCCTATAGTCCCAGCTACTTGGGAGGCTGAGGCAGAAGAATCACTTGAATCTGGGAGGTGGAGGTTGTAATGAGCAGAGATCATGTCACTGCATGCCAGCCTAGGCAACAAGAGCAAGACTGTCTCAAAAAAATAAAAAAAGAATTTTTTTTTTACTTGTTTTGATTTTATTTTTAAAAATTTTGTAAATTGAAAGTGGAATAGCTAAAGCTTTTAAAATTACTTTTAATTATTGTTATTTATTATGATTATTTTGAATTATTGAAATAAACAATGTAGTAGTTTTTGTTTCCACTCTTCCATAACAATTAATTCTTTGCAAAAAGGAAAACAGAACAATGTATGTATTTATTGGCAAGTTTCACTAGGTAATTAAAGGTTCTTAAACACAAGATTTGTGTACAAACTGTTATTTAGGCATTTTTTTTTTTATTCCAAAAGGTTAAGAGCCATGTATCTTATGCCCAGGATAAAGTTTCATTTTACAAAATATTAATCCTTGAAATTACTCTTTGTAGGGAAGTTAAATAAGAGTCTGTCATATGCTGTATTCTGACATTTCCAAATACATTTGGACAAAATAGGACACAGCTGTTACAGTGAAAAACAATGCAATGTAGACTTATTCTTTACATTTAAATACAGCAATCATCATCTTAATGGTTTTCTATGGTAGAGACCTAATAGATTACAAAAATCTTCAGATTTGTATTCTTATTTCTAATGCAATTTATTCTTGACTTTTGCTTTGCTGTTGCTGCTTTTTCTTGATATAGTATGTTCCTCATTTCTTTTTTTAGGCTAGGCAGCTGGAAGAGAAAGACCGAGTGCTCAAGAAGCAGGATGCATTCTACAAAGAACAGCTGGCTAGACTGGAGGAGAGGGTATGGCTATTTTTCGTCATTGATTCTATTACCACATCTGCCGCTTTCTTGTATATTTATTTAAAAATTAATAAATTAGAATTTCAGCTGCTTTTCCTAGTTGTCAAGCGGACAGGAAGTGAGGAGGGAAAGCAGATTGTTTGTCCAGTGTAGGAATGTCATTTTTTCTTTGGACACTTTGAAATGGTTGCATTGTTTGTTCACTGATGTATTTTGTCACATGGGAACTCCACCAGATACTTTTCCTTATATGTTTAGAATCTACATTGCCTCCAGGTCAGACAGTACACCGCTACTCTTTACTCCCCCAGACACTGACTAAACTTTAGTGCACTCTTAAAAATGGTAGGTTTTTTTGTTTGTTTGTTTGTTTTTTGAGACATAGTTTCACTCTTGTTACCCAGGCTGGAGTGCAATGGTGCAATCTCAGCTCACTGCAACCTTCGCCTCCTGGGTTCAGGCAATTCTCCTGCCTCAGCCTCCTGAGCAGCTGGGATTACAGGCACGCGCCACCATGCCCAGATAATTTTTGTATTTTTAGTAGAGTCAGGGTTTCACCATGTTGTCCAGGATGGTCTCGATCTCTTGACCTTGTGATCCACCCGCCTCGGCCTCCCAAAGTGCTGGGATTACAGGCTTGAGCCACCGCGCCCAGCCAATGGTAGTGTTTTAAATGATATATTTTCTTTTTTTTTCCTTTTTAAGAAAGAATCTCATTCTGTCGCCCAAACTGAAGTGCAGTGGTGCGATCTTGGCTCACTGCAACTTCCACCTACCAGGTTCAAGCGATTCTCATGCCTTAGCCTCCTGAGTAGCTTGGATTACAGGCATACACCACCATGCCTGACTAATTTTTGTATTTTTCTTAAAGATAGAGTTTCACTATGTTGGCCAGGCTGGTCTCTAACTCCTGGCCTCAAGTGATCTGCCCGCCTCAGCCTCCCAAAGTTGTGGGATTGCAGGCACAAGCTGCTCCACTTGGCAGGATATATTTTCTTTCTGAAAACTCAGTTTCACTGCATTTGTAGTTAAGAAATGAATGTCTCCTTCAGGAGAGGTGGACAGGAGCTGAATAGTAGAAGTTAAAGATGAGTTAGGAGAAGGAAAAGAGGGTGTCAGTCAGCATGGGTCTAGAATTTAAGATAGGCAAAAGAAGGCAATGAATTTAAGAATGGGAGTTTGAGCACCTATCAGTGCCCTCTGCAATAAAGTAGATTGGTTATCTAAATTAATTTCATACATAGACCATGAGGTTGCAGAGTGAGCTCTCTCTTTTTTTGAGTGAACCCCTCAAAATTTTATTTGTTGAAAATATGTTATTTGATAAGAAAATAGGAAAAAATGAGCAATAAACTATTAATCCTCACTCAGTACAGTTATTTATATGTTAAATGTGTTTGCTGTCTCCACGTGTTACTGAACTGAATACTTCTTGAATGTAGGGAGCATTCTCCTATTCATTTAGCAGATATTTACTTAAGCACCTAATATATGTTTGGCCCTGGCCTTGTGCCAGCAGCTATGTGCTGGTGAAGAAAATGAGGTAAACATCTGTCTTCATGGAGCTTAAAATCAATTTAAAACCACTATACCTAGTGTATGGCAGATTATGGTAATTTCAGGAGGAATGAAATGGGAAAAGCAAGTCCCAGGACTGGGGTTAGTCATGGAGCTGGGTAAAAAGGGAAGATCTATCTGTTGAGATGATGACATTTGGGAAGACAGGCCTGTGGTAATAGGGAAGCAAGCCATTGCCAAAACCATGAAGCAGGCATGAACTTGGCATGTTTGGGAGGCTGGAGGGTTTAGGAGCAGACCAGCCCCCTGGCTGCTGTTTTGGGCAAGAGTTGAAGCAACAGAGAATTAGTAAGAAATTATGGGAGTAACTCGGAAAAGGGCTGACAATGCTGTGGGTCTGAGTGCTGGCAGGGGAAGTAATGAAATGTGGTTCAGTATTTTAAAGGTAGAGTTGACCAGATTTGCTGATGACTTTGAACATGAGTGAAGAAAGCAAAGACTCAAAGAACCTTCAGGTTTATGGCTTTCATAACTAGAAGGTTTTTTCCACAGGGGAAGATTCTTAAGATAAGGATTAGGATGTTGGTGGTAGAGGAAATCAGGAGTTTAATTATGGATATGTTAAGCTTAGGACACAAGGCATTGAAGTAGAGATGTTGAATAGGCATAAAGTGGAATGGTCTAGAGAGTGACAACAATTTTTTCTGTAAAGGCCAGATAGTAAATATTTTAGGCTTTGCATGCCACATTTGGTTTCTTGCAGCTACCCAACTCTGCCTTTGTAATGTGGAATCAGAGAAAGCCAATTATAAGTGAATGAATATGGCTCTGTTCTAATTGCAGGACACTGAAGTATGAAGTTCATATGATTTTCACACATCACAAAATTGTTTTTTTTCCCCAAACATTTAAAATTGAAAAACCAAAACCAAGTAATGGGCCTGATTTGGCCCCCTGGTTGTAGTGTGCAGAACTCTGATTTAGAGCACAAGGCTCTGATGTCAGATGCCTTGGATTCAAATTTCTGACCTGGCATTTCCCTGCAGTGTAATGTGGAACATCTGACTTTACTTGTCAGTTGTTAAGTGATGATATAATAGTACTTACCTCACTAATTTGTTAAATGAGCTAATACTCATAAAGCACCTGTAATAGTGTGCACCACAGAGTAACCACTCACCCACAAATTGTTTTACTTCTATGCTTAGAGATTGCACATGGGTTAGAGTTTGTATTAGTTTGTTTTCACACTGCTTTGATGAACTACCTGAGACTGGATAATTTATGAAGTGAAGAGCTTTAATTTACTCCCAGTTCTTCATGGCTGGGGAGGCCTCAGGAAACTTACAGTCATGGCAGAAGGTGAAAGGGAAGCAGGCACCTTTTTCACAAGGTGTCAGGACAGAGAGAGGGCATTCAGGGGAAACTGCTACCTTTAAACCATCAGATCTTAGAACTCTCTCACTATCACAAGAACAGCCTGGGGGAAACTGTACCCAGAATCCAATTACCTCCTACCAGATCCCTCTGTCAACATGTGGGTATTCCAATTCTAGATGAGATTTGGGTAGGGACACAGAGCCAAACCATATCAGAGTTAGTAAATGTTAGCTGAATAAATGAATGAAAGTGACAATTTTTGAGGTGATGTACCTGGCATCTGCTTTTCCCCACCCAGTGACAGTTTTCTTTGCCATCAGGTTTTACTCTATTAGGTATCTTATAAACTTGCCTTTAATTGTTGTGAGGCTCAAGAAAAGACACTGAAAAATATTCTCCCATTTCTCATAGACTAATTCACTGTTAGGCTTTTTGGCATCAAGTAGAACAAGTGGTAGAAGATTAGATGGACACAATATGATAAGATCAAATTATTGTGAGTCGTGTCTTATATAGACAGAATATATTGTTTACCTTTTTGAAGATCAGGCTGGAAAGTAGTTACCCTGCAGTTGAAACTAAAATCTGAGAAGCACCAGTGAGCTTAAAATGCTAAGGTGGAATGTGTACACTACTATTAGTTTATTTCAATAATGCCACATTAAGTACTATGTGGGAGAAAGGATGTTAACGAGGAGTCAGAAGGCATGCTTTTGTCATCTAGCTGTTTGGCAGTTCACCTAATCTCTTGTGGTATCTGGTTCTTTATCTGTAACATGTTCCTTGCTCATCTTCATGATGACTGAGGGTAGATCAGGTGAATGTGTAAAAACCCCTTGAAAACTGGAAAGAGCTTAACAAATATCAGCTGTTGCCATGAAAGACTATCTGCTTACTTTCCATTATGTATAAGATAATGATAATCATAAAATTACTATTATTCAACTGCCTTGTGTCTTTTGCCCGTTTCTATACAGTCCTGTTTTTGTTTGTTATTGTCATTCTCAAAGTACCCAAGTTGAATTTTGTCCATTTGGATTTCTTCCAGGAATATGTGAGAGACATATAGGTCTCTAATGATGGAGCATTTTCTAGGCATAATGCAAAAGATTGTAAAGGGATGTTCTTTTGTATTGTGACAGCGGTGAAAATTACAATGTCTGACTATTTCTGTAAGGAATTCTGCGCACACTTTGGTATTAGTATGAAAATGCTGAATCCAATAATTCATATTGTAAGAAATGATTATAATATTAATATAACTTGCAGATCATCTAACTCACTAGAAAATCCAGGTTGCCTGTGGTTTAAAGGTGGACATATGCACGTATCTTTCCTCTTTTAACCAAATGAAATGATGAAACTATAAAGTAGATACCAGGTGGTGTATCATTAATGGAGAGGGGTGTGACATCAATGAGTCTTTTATGGAATCATTCTGAGGGAGATTCCTGAGATAACCTTACCATCTGCCCATTAGCTAGATTAACCAACACAGCAATTGTACACATTATCAATTTTTGATGACTTGAACTATTCATTTATATTGGCTTGATGCAAATTTCTCTTGAAAGTATGAATCAAAGTCCACTAAATGTGAAGTACCTTCAGTTTCTGTAATACAGCTTGGTTTGCTTCTTGGATCTATGTCAATAAACTTATTAATTAGATAATTCCCATGTATGAATGGAACTCCCTCCACCCAGGTATTTATATTGGCCACTCCACCCGGGAGTCTGAGATAATTTTCTTCTTTCACTAACTCATTAGAAGTAATAGGTGTAATTTAACTGGACACTGATTTCACTCTTTTTAGAACCAGTTTTCAAAAGCAGCGACACTTTACTGAGACAAGTGTTGCTGCTTTTGAAAACTGGTTCTAAAAAGTCTCATTTTTTTCAAAGCCATTTGAAAAGATTTTTTAAGTCCTTATTGAAAGATACTTACAGAGTTTTAATTCCTAGTTATTGATATAAGAGACATGGATAGTATTAATTCCTGGTTGGTGATTTGATGGGAGGAAGCTGAGAGCAGCTTTCAAAGAGAAGATTCTTAAGTGTTTCTAAGAAGTAGTCTCCAAGTCTCCCAGGAAATTCTGTTTT